TCAAGAACACTTGAGGTTCAAAGCATTGTTCTTAGATGGTAAGCTCTGAGGCAATGATAATGCATTTATTTGCCTGTTGAAGGACACGTATGTGTGGGGCTACAGTTAGGAAAAGCTACTGCAACAAAGTCCCTTTTTGTTGCTCAAAATGTGCTGTAAAAGTTCTTGGTATTCTCAGCTGACTTGTCCCTAACATGAGAGAAATTGCAAATGATGAGACTGATAAGAATACTAGCCAATAATACATATTTTAACATATAATTGCTACAGTCCTTACACTAACAGCTCAAAGACTGATTTCTTGTACTTGTCTGGGCAAATGTGTTTTTGAAATCAAGAATATATTTAGGTTGGCTTAAGTTTAAAGGTGCTCATCACTTTGTTTTTCAAAGTGCTAAACAGATTTGTCTGAACTATCAGGGAGGTGTGTGTGTATGTGGGAATTACGCCTAACAAGATTGCCAGATCGGCACTAAACAGCTGTTATGCCTCTCCTTGAGATAAACACAATAGATCAGAGATGTCTACTGGCTATGGTCTGACATGAAACACTTTGTGCTGTTACTTGCTTTTCAACGTATATTTTCTCTAAAGCAATAATTTGCCTTTAGATGATAACTCTGTTCTTGGTGGCATTTTCCCCCTCTGGTTTTCCATAGCAAAAGCTTTGTCAGAGTTGTTTAAAGCTCACATCTTGCTCGTTCTGGGTTTTCAGTGTTTGCCTGGGAGATGTTGGCTGTAGTTGTTAAACTTCGCTTCTGTGGCAATACATCCTCAACATCCTACTCATGCTCATCTTAACCATTGTTATGTTAAGAAAGATGAGCCCATTGGTTTTTAGCATACCTAGATATGCATCGTCTCCTGCTTTAAAATGTCACTCTAGCTTAAGTCTGGGTAGGACACAAGGTTTAGGGGGTGCTGTTACTTGCCGATTCTTTTTTCTTCCTTTACTTGTTGCAGGAAATGAGAATGCAGCCCAGCTCTGACCTGAGTTGTGATGATGGTTGGTTGGTTGCTTGGTTTGCTTGTTTGTTTTAAAGAATTTTAAAAATGGGGAAAAAAAAAAGGGAGGAAAAAAAAAAAAAAGAACAATAAAGAGGAGCTTTCCAAACCATGTTTTGAGGAGGAGGAGTGAATAATGAGGGTCATGAGAAAGAATTAGTAAGTATAAGTCCTGCTGTCAACTGAAAACTCCCAAAGAGCCATCAGGGCTTCACCTACCTCCGTCTCCTACCAGCAGATCAGAGCTGGTTTGAATTAGCACAAATCAAACAGTGACACCAAGGTTAGTTCAATTCTGATTATGAAGTTTCTGCCCTAAGAAATACAAAAGCCAATTACCACCAAGCTATTTTTACAATCTTCTTAATTGCATTGCAACAAACTACATTCCTAATTTTTAAGGATGTTGCCAAGTGTGAAGGAAAGGTGCTTTAAGGCAAAACAGACAGAGCTAAGAATAGTTTCCATCTAGGCAATACTGGTTTAAATGAGTGCATAAACACTAATAAAAATGTTAATAATTAGACATTGAGTATTCCACTTTGTTTCCAGCAGTTTGTATGTTGAAAGAAATGTGAAATTCCCAGCTACAAGCAGTTAACCTTCCGTTTCATAGGAAGGGTGTTCCAGTGAAAATTCCAGACCATAATTACTGCACCACCTGAGCAGAATGAAACTTGTATTCAGTAGCACACTGCGGCTGTAGTTGGGTTATGCTGGCCCTGGCTGTTCTGAGGAGTGGACTCACCCTGGGTGAGCCTTGATGCAAGCAGTCATGGCATCAGAAGGGTGCTGGCATCTTAGGATACCAGAAATGGTGCCTCATTTCTTCATCTTCTTTCAACGCCATTTTCTGGTTACGGTGTAGAAGGAGTAGTCAAGATGAAATAGTAACTAACAGTACTTGTTGTAGTAACTGTTGTTACTGCTTTAACTTCTTAGAAGCTGTTGTTGAATGGTTGTTGCAGCAATCAACCATTTTACAAGAAAATGTCTTCCTTCAAAATCATTTTTTCCTAGTTTCTGCAAATAAGTTGGTGAGTTGATCCCAGCAGCTTTTGGACACTTCGTGCCCTCAACAATGAGTCTGTCTTTCCTATAATATTTATGCTATATTTAAGACTGGGATTTGTGTACTTCATTGTCTTATTCCAGGCTGGGGAGTCCTGGTTTGCGTGCAGTTTCTTACATATCCTTCAGTTCTTATGCATGACCCTGAAGTGGAGATGAGCGGTCAAACATCGGTCTCATTTCTGACCTCTTGCTCGACCTCTGCAAGACTGCCAGGCAGCACTTCCTCGCGGCAGGTCAGACATGTCCAGCTGTTCCTCTGTGGAAGATTCTAGTGTTTGTTGCTGCCATAAATTTGGCATTTAGAAGGCTGAGACAGAAGCATATTCCTACCCTTCTACTGGTCTGCAAATGGCTTGTTGCTGTTACTCTCAGCTTTCTCCCCCCACTAATGCCAAATGCAAGCAACCTGACTAGATCATAAATTTCAGGAGCTGATTGTAACAGACCTGGCAGCCTCTGTGTGCCTGCAAGGGCACTGGCATGAAGCAGGCCATCGTGCACTTTGGGACAGCAGCCCACGTAGTCTGTGCTCCCTGCAATGAAACGTTGCCTTCCTCCGTGCCAGGAGCTGCTGCTGAATTTTGGGTCTTGGACCCTTCAGGTTTGGTGTGGTCGGCTTGACGAGAAAACTGGTTTTGGTCAGACTCCTTAGAGACTGGGGCCAGTGAGAATAAGGTCTTGAATCTATTTTCCAAGATGAACCACTTTGCTCCAAAATCTCAGGTGCATCGCAAGAACTCTAATACCGAAGTTTTTCCAAAGTGACGAAATATGACCAGAAATCTCAAGAAAGGAGGACTTTTTTTTTTTTTTTAACTTGATTTTACTCTTGTTTGGAAATTAAGGGTTATGTTAAAAATGAGAAATGGCAGCAACGTAGGAGAAGCCAATTGATATGGCCATTTACAAATAAGCAAAGAAGCAAACAACATACACACAAAACTGTGCTCATTTAAATCCCCTTGTTTTTAGTCTCATATTCTGAACTAATTGCCATTCATAATTTCTTTATATTTCCTCTCCTGTCTCCTTACAGGAAGCTAATGGAAGCTAATTTTCCCCTCCCTTAATACCAGAAACCTTCGTACTGCTTTTCTCTACTGTAACCACCGAAAACCCACCTCAGCAATGACCATCACGGTCACAGAGCAGATTAACTGGTATAAACAGCCCGAGAGTGCTGGCCGCTTATCTGCCAGGGTAAATCAACACTCTTGTTCACACATCCTTGAGCCAGGAAGATTGATTAAAAGCCCCACGTGGCCCCAAAGCTAGAATGTTAAGTAAAGGACTTCCACGGTTTCCATGTAACAAGAGTCTGGGGAGAATGTAAGACTGAGGAGGAAAACAAACACAAGAAAAAAACAAACCCAACGAAAAGTCTTTGATCTGGTGACTGTCTGATACCTGTAGCGTTGCAGTTTCTAGAAAACAAGAATGTCAATTTATCGCCTCTGTTTTTCACTGCAGTTCAAGTCTATTATTTTATATGTATTAAAGTATATAAATATATTTTATGGACAGAAGGCAAATGACCTTTTCTAAAGTGTGTCTCCCTTCCTGAGCTGCAAAGGTTAACCAGAACAGCTGTATTCACAGATTGCTCTCAACTGGGAGAAATATTTTTGTGAACTTTTTTCTTCAGACTGCTGCAGTAGAACAAGACCTGGTGGGACGCTGAGCTGCACAGGATGGCAAGGAGAACGAGTGCAAGTGGGCCTGTTGCTTGCAGATAAAATTCCAGGCTTAATCCTCTTCAACACTATGACCCAAATGTCGTATTACTCGTTTCATTTGTAATTTGGAGGGGAGTTTCTAGACTGGGTCCACTGAGTTTCTGTGGGTGTGTGGGAGACGGAGCTTTCCAGCGAGCACCTCCCGGCTGGCTCAGGGCTCTGTGCCCAGAGGTGGGGCACGTCCGTGGCTGGACAGCATCACTGTGTGATGCTGTTTTCAAGTCCTGTGTCTGAGTTTGTCCATCGCGATCCATTAGGAATCAATGAAACTCCTTGGGTCCTGGGTGCTGGTGAGCAAACTCTCAAGCTGTTGTCGTAGTTGTGCATTGTACAACATGTGCTCAGGTAGGGGATCAACCTCAGCGTTGAGGACAGCAGATGAGGACATCTCCTTTGAGACACTCTCTCCTCAAATACAGCTCTCGTGCCTTTGGTTTTTCCTTACTATACTTCTCATATGTGGTTTTATTCATGCTTAACATGGCCCAAAACATGGGGTTTTCAGTAAGTGAAAAGAAGATTCGTGTTCAAGAGAGCAGGCCTCAAACTTCTGTTTCTGTCAAACATTTATATGTTTTAGTAATGTACCATGAAAGGTGGGCTTTTATCTTGAAAACATAAATTGGCAGGTCATGAATTATTAATTGTGTTGCTAATCCATACCTTGTGTATCTTTAAAGAAAACAAAAACTAAAATTTAAATCTGCTGGCCAGAGGGAGGAAAAAATAAGTTCTGTACCATAATAAGACTCCTGTGTTTGTCATCCTTTCCAGATATGTTTTAGTAATATTTTGATCTTCCCCATCCTTTTTCTCTCTGTTTATATTTGAGTAGCAAATGAGGCAGAACCACAGGAGGCCTTTTAAATGGATAGAAAGTGTTTAATGATCTTTGCCTACTGCATTCAAATGTTCCTCTGTCGTTACCCAAATCCACAGTAGGGATTCCCTTCTGTTATGTATCTCAGGCTCCTCAGAAACATGGTTGTGAGTTTCAGGAATATGGCTTTGATTCTCAGAATTTCCATCTTAAAGGAGAGTCCTACGGATTAAAAGAACACCAATGTTACCACCCCACTGTTGCTTTGCACTGAGTAACTTAGACAAATAGCAAGTTATGTGAGTACCCAATAGCTCATTCACTTATTCGTTCAGTAACTGTTTTCTCTCTCTCCCTGTTTTTAGAAGCAGAAACAGAAATCCTATTGGTCCAGGAAAGTATGGATATGGAAAAGTGCCTTACATTTTGCCTTTACAAACTGACACTGGTCAGCAGCCGCAGAAACTTCGGAGGCAGCGACAGTCATCGAGGAACCACGCATTTCATCAGAGTCCAAGTCTCATGAACTCTTACAGCCAGTCAGCTAGCCCTTCACTTCAACATGGGAATCTTTATCAAGAAGAAGGGGGGCCTCAAGCTGGACACCAAGTCCTGGGACCCTCAGTTTATCAGACATCTTCATTTCCAGTCTCTCAGAACTTGTTTCATAGCAGTGACTCAAGCCATCATGGGTCTGCATCCCATCAGGCAGTCCAGGGTCAGCCCCAGCCTCAAAGGGCTGCAGCTATTGTGTGCGTTGGCACCTACAAGCAATATAAACTCTGCAACACAAATGTAAGTCTGGATTTCTTATATTTAATTTTGGGCAGCTGTTGGTTTTCCCTAATGTGCTAAATGTTCATATAGTCAAGAAGTTAAGTTGAGCACTGGTTTTTAATTTTTTGAGTATTTTTCATGTACTTACTCTAAAAGTGTCTTGGTGAATACTAAAAGTAGATGTGTAATGTAGTAGTTATCTAAAAACATCCCTTGAAAGATTTAAAGCAGTCACTAAAATGTACCAGTGTGTGCAATTCTGATTCGATAGACAGAGAAACCAAGACACAGAAATGTTGAACTTTTTTTTTTCCATGCAAGAAATGAAAAACTGGCATTGGAATATACCATATTATGAAGGCTTCCTACTTCTCAGTCCCCTAAGATAAGGCTATCATTCTGGAAGGGCTGCTAAGGATCTAAATAGCATTAGGGCCAGTACCCAGTAGCTTTGATCACATAAGTATCTTTCTATGGTGCTGTGTGCATTCTGGAGCAGATGCTACTTTTATTAGCATCTGAACTCAGTGCTTTGATTTTGGCCTCCTAGCTTATTGGAGAGAAAATCTGTTCTGCGTTAATTTTAAAATAAAACTGAGTGTGTTATTGCTTCATTCAAAAATGTTTGGCTGGGTGTAGCTCTCTGCTCTGGGGCAGTCTCCCATTGTATGCGGGAAGCCAGTGAGGTTTTAGTATTTCTCCACACAAGCAATTTCTACCATGCTAAAGTATTCTGTTCCTGGCTGTGTCACTTAAGTATTTCCTGAAGTATCTCATCTTAATACTTGTGTCTTACTGGGGCCACAAATGTAATGTCATGTTGCAAATGTTGAGAAGCTCCTCTGTGGTTATTAGAAGCAGGGTGCTCAAGCGTGCTCTCAGTGTGCTGACACATCAGGCCACGTATGTCTGAGTGAACGTGTGATTCTTCTGCCTGTTTGAAATCCTGTCGCATTTAGTGGAAGGCTGCACAGTGCAATGCAGTAACAGAACATACCATCAGGATAACAAAAAAGTAACTTAAGCAGGTCAGATGAATGTCTTTTGCCTGGTAGTCTAGTGGTTATTGCATTTGCTTTATTTAGGAATAAAGTCCATTGATTGAGCCCAGAGAAGTTGATTGAAAAGACCCAATGTCAAGAAAGTTGGTTTAGTGTTTTTCTGAAAGGGAAAACATGGAAGAGTTGCTTTGAGCCTCTGAATATAGTCCCTGTTACACATCGCTGTTTGGATTTTTTTTTTCTTATTTTTATTTTAAGGGAAAGGGAAATAAACTTGCTTAGTGGGTGTTAATTTGGTAAGTCAGCAGTGCTGAATTTGCTCACTTGCATTTAAAAGTGATACACAAATATTTCAGTGGCCAACACATGAACTCTGCTTTTCTCTAGTAAACCTTTCATTATGATGGTACCCAACACTTGTATTGCTTTGAATTACTCTCTAGGGATTTTTACCACCATGTGATAAGCCTTTGTTTGGGATCCATGTTCCTTTTCAATATATCGCATCTCCTTGTGTTAATCCATATCTATTTCGTCCCTTACTGCACCAAGGCAAAAAGTGGGGCAATATTCTGCATGATTTATGAAATATAACAAAAAGGTTTCCAGGAAAGATCTCTTTGGAGAGCAAAAGCTGATAGGTGAGGAAGTTAGAAATGAGCTGGAAGAAAGAAGTCATTCCAGATAATCCAAGGTGGTGGAGAAGGAAGGTTCGTAGAGAAAACTGGTTGAGAATGACAAGCAGGATGGAGAGATGAGGGCTGGGAGCTTGTGAATTAAACAGTGTCAAGAAGTGCTGTTCAGTATGAGGAGTGGTCTGGCCATTCCAGATTTGTATTGGTAGTAGGCGAACATAAGTGAAAATATTTCCACATTAATTCTGGAAAACAAATAGGTGAGCATACTGTTGCTTCATCTTTGCCACGGTTGCGTGTATAAATGCAGTTATAAAGAAGTTGTTAATACTACCCGAGAGTTTTATTAAAGAGAAATTGTAGATGATGTAGCTCCTCCTAGGCATGGAACTCTACACAGTTGTTATTTAATGGTATTTCTGTTCCCCTCAGAGAAGCCATGACTGCTTTGGAGGCTATTTTTCTCTCTAGAATGTGGTAATTAATATAACTACAAAAAATAAGTTGCTAAGAACAGTTTTAGTTATAAATGTCAGGATGAAAGCAAGACAAGGCTGATAGTGTTTCATCTTGTTTGCTTGTTCTTCCTGATTAAATGCTTCAGCACGTGGGTTTTAATTTAATTTATCAGCAGTGACATGTACCAGAGGCCTTGACAGCATGCAGAGAACAGTCTCTCTCTCTTTTTTTTTTTTTTAATACTTTTTTAAATCTTTCCGGAGCATAGCAAAACAGAAAATATCGTTTATGGAGAAGAAAATAATCTCTTAAGTTATCCTGGTGTTTAGGCACTCCTACAGTTTCTCCTAAGGGCAGTTAATTAATAACAAATTAAGTCAATGTGCCTTGGTCCATTAGGTCATTTCCTCATTATTGTACATCTATTGTTTTTTTTTCATTAATAGCTGAACTCATTTTACATGACTGACAGCTCGGTTCATAAAAGTGAACCTTAGGCATTCTGGTTAGAGTGAACCCAGGACGTGCTGATATCGGCTGCAGTGGGTTGGCAGTTCCATCAGAGCCATGCCCTCATTGTACCAGTGGCTTCCTCTCCTCGGCGCCTCGTGTCCACGCTTTGTTCGTGCCCGCCTCCAGGCACACAGCTGCCCGGCACCTCTGCATGCAGGAAACAAGCAATGCGCTTCTCTCCCTTACGCAGGGCAGTAGTCGGATCTTACTGCAACCATAAGCTGTTTGTAATGCAGAAAGATTCTCCCAGCGTAGTCTTAAGTTCCTCCGAAGTGAAGGATTGATGTAAGTCTTTGTTACTTCCCCCTGTATTAGAGGAAGGAGAATTACATGGGCGCGTGAGTAGAGTAGAGTTGAATGCCAACTTGTTTGCGTTTTGTCACCAGAACAGAGGAAACAACTGAAATGGAACATTTATTTACTGAACCCTTTTTGTTGCTGATTCTCACAAGCACTGCCAAGTCGCTAGCTCTTTGTGAGTGGCTGAATGTGTGAGCGTGCTTGTAAATTAACTTCAGGCTGAGGGTTGCTTGAGGAGTGTTCACAAGGCAACTCTGGATGTTCAAGCCTGCTTGTGCACTGTGAATTTGGTAAGGCAGAGTAGAGCAACCCTTTAAAAAGTCAATTTTATCTAATTCAATGTAATTTTTGTAGGACACACAGTGGGTTGTGACTTATTGGTAAGGACGTTTAACACTCAGTATGCTGTGTGCCCTGCTTGCCCCACAGCTCGCTCCCTTTCTCGTTCTGCAGTCCTCGCTTCCCAGGTTGCACCCATGCGGTTCGGTCTGCAGGCACGTGGTAAGCGTGACCAAATCCATGCTCTGGGTATGGAACTTGTAAAGTCAGATGGTGACTGTTCTGTGATTCAGTTACACTACAGCAAACAGCATGGAAAAAATAGTCAGAGGAATTCATATACAAGGTTCACCATGGCGAGCAACACAAAATGCACATACAGCCTAAATTCTCTTTAGCTATTGACAGAGGTATGTTCTTGATACAGTTTATGTTTTTGCTTTTGTTTGAATTTGCAAAAAAACAAGCCAAAACATATGGAAGACTAAGCTGAGGTTAGGTAAGAGGCTCAGGGCCAATCCCTAGCTCTACCATGGTGGGGTAAATTGTTCCGTGCACTTCAGTGCCTACAGAATATTAATGATGATGATGCTAATTTTGACTGGTATGAGTCAGTCCAACTTTCCAGTGGAAGGCTTTTTTTGATGCAGAATTCTAATTTATCCTAATTAAATAGGAATGAAATGTTCCGCAGGATTGTGTTGAATCCATTTAAAACTGATGTGCTCTGTCACCTAACCACATAGGTAGGCATTGGCAGGTTCCCTTGCCCTATGGGATCTTGGGCTGAGTCACCAGCTTGTTGGCATTCTGCCCAAGAGTTTTTGATGTTTTCCACTACTTCCATACATTTCCATTGAAGTATTTCCCATATTTAAATTTTCAACAGAGGTATAAGTGGAAATGTTTAATTTTGTGTTTAACAAAAGATGTAATTCTCTGAAGGTCTTTTCACAAAAGCTGTAAGGAAGCATGCATTCTGGAATGTCGTTGGGATGCTCAGATAATGAGAAAATGACAAATAGATGGCTATGTATTTTTAAGGTAACTTCATTTTTTTCAACTGAAAAGCCCCTTTTATTCCCAAAGAGCTACTGTGTGGTTTGTTTATTCTCTTTTTGAGATTTGTGTAGAGTAGGTGTTTGACATAAGTGGAAAAGCTGGGTTATGATGACTTATCTCTTCCTGAGGAAACAACCCTGACTTTATGTCAGGAATTTTCCCTTCGAACAATGTGGGATTGTGTGGATGTTTGGTACTCTGACATTCTGTGGCTGTATAGGAAACTTATTAAAAGCTTATGTGGGTTTACATTACTTTGGGTTGTACTGACATTTCTTTCAATGTTGATATTTGCAGCAGAACTTCATAAATATTAATACAGAATGCATTACCACTGCTAGACGTACCTTACCAGGCAGTGGCACAGAGACACTGCTTGTAAAACATCCTACTTCGTTTGGTCAATTGTCCCTCGTGTTCAAGAGTTGCATAGAGACATCTTTGATTGGGGCTCTTGGGCCACAGTTGTGCATTTCCCCTGCATCTCTTTGTACTTTATGAAACTCCCTTCAACAACTGAAGGCTGCAGTAGGAAAAAAAAAAAAAGTATTATGATGTGCTTATTAGAATTTGAATAAATTATGTGAAAGTGGATGACTGAAATCATGAAGAAAAATAGGTTGTTGTAATTTCAGAAGCTTTCTGTAACAGTTTTATTCCATGAGCGTGCTGTGTACACAAAGTCAACTCTTTTACATCAAGTGATTATTACTAGGTTAATTATTTATTAATCTAGTTAAATGTATGTATCATGGCAAAAATCATAAAA